AAGAAAACATAGAAGAAACACTCCAACATAGAGGTGCAAGCAACAACTTCCTCAATAAGACTCCTGTAGCTCAGGAAATAATATCAAAAGTAAATGAATAGAATTGCATCAAATTAAAATGCTTCTGCATATCAAAGGAAACAACAGCATGAAGAAAGAACCTACCAAATGGAAGAAAATCTTTGCTGGCTACTCTTCTGACAGAAAATTAATATCCAGAATATATAAAGACCTAAAAACCTAAATAGCCAAAATACAAATAATCTATTTGATAAATGGGCAAATGTATGAAATGGGCACTTATCAAAAGAAGTACAAATGACTAACAATTATATGAAAACTGTTTAACATCCTTAGCAAATCAAATCAAAAGTACAATGAGATTCTGTCTCACTCCAGTCAGAATGGCAGTCATCAAGAACACAAATAACAATAAATGCTGTCAAGAATGTGGGGAAAATGGAATACTTATATGCTGTTAGTGTGGATGTAAATTAGTATAGCTACTATGAAATCAGTGTGCAGGTTCCTCAAAAAAACTAAAATTTGAACTACCATATAACCCAGCTATACCATTCCAAAATATTTATCCAAAAGATTAAAAAACACCATACTTGAAAACTATAGTAATACATGCATTCCCATGTTTATAGCAGCACAACTCATAATAGCCAAGTTATAGAACCAGCCTAGGTATATGTCAACAAATGAATGGATTAAATTGTGGTATATATTCACAATTTTTACTTAGTCATAAAGAAGAATGAAATTATGTCATTTGCAGGAAAATGGATGGAACTAGAGAGAATCATATAAGCAAAATAAGGCAGACTCAGAAAAACGAATGTCATATGTTTTGTCTCGTATCTGGAAGCTAGAGGGGAAAAAGGATCATGAAAATAGAAGGTAGACTAGTGGAGTAAAGAGGATCAGAGGGAGGGAAAAGGGGAGGGCAAGAGGTGGTACTGGGGAACAAAATTTATCAAATTATGTGCATCAAATTATGTTACATGTCACAATGCAACCTACTATTTTGTATAATATGCACTAATAGATTTTTAATGGCCTTTTCTGTCACCATGGAAACGTACCTCTTGCTTTGTTGCTACTCATGCCAACACTAGATGAACCTCCCCTGGTCTCATTTCAAAACAGTATGTCTAAGGACAGGTATAAGCCTGCAAAAAAGGATTGTCATTTACAAAAACTCACACAAAATTAAAATAGTCCTTTATTCAGACCTCAAGTCTCTCTTTTTGAGATTCCTGTGATATGTCCTATATATGAGTCCAAATTCAATCAGGAAAAATGAAAAGGGTAGTATATTGTGTGATCTTGATGAAATTACTTAGCTTCTCTCTGTTTCTATTTTCTCATCTGTAAAATGGGGATAATAATGCTTATAATAATAAAGCTTATAATAATGCTTATTATATGTAAAGTGCTTAAAACAGAACTAGTGTATAGCAAGTACTCCAATCATGTTCATTGTTGTCATAGAAATGTAAATTAATTTCAACCTCACATTCTTACTCCAATTCTCATTTATGAGAGAAAAGAACTACTACAACCTACCCTACTCCCATCATTATAACCCATTGTCATCTAAAAACTTTCAGGAGCTAGTAGATCAGAGAAGTCAAAGATGAATGTTTCATTAAAAAAAAACAATGAGGATTATTATTCAGTCAACCTGGCAATTAAATTAATCAATATTTTTGAGAAAGTACTCTTCCAAGTGCTAGATTATATCTATGAATAAAGTTGACCTGGTTTCTGCCTACACAAAAAATAGGTCCAGTTGGAAAGATGGGCTTAAAAGAAATAATTATACAAATGTGTAGCATATCTAATTACAAACTGTGTTTATTGCTACTAAAGGAAAATTATTCTGCCAAATGTGTAAGTGAAGAGTAACATTCATCCAAGATTTGTGTACTTTGGCTTGCAAAGCATTGTCCTGAGTAGTTGGCAAATGTTCATTGAGGAGATGAGACTAGGAAGAAAAGCATGTGTTATTTGCAGAGGCCTTTCTTGAAAGTCATACTGGAGATTTTATTTTTTGTCTTAAGAGCAATGAGTCACCTTTCAGAACTTTCTGATTTTAGAATGGTCGATCCTAGTTGTAGTTCAAGAGGACAAATATGGTCAGTGAGATCAATTAGGAGGTTCTTTTGATAATCTAGGTAAGAAATTATATGATTCCTTCCATTAGTAGTGTTATATGTTCATGCTCCTTCAGTATCCTTTTCTGAAACTGATATGACTAATATAAGTGAAGATTGTGATATGATGATGCTTTACAAATAATTCATCTTATTTTTTATTCTAATTATGTAAACAAAGCCAGGCAAGGTGGCACGTACCTGTAATCCCAGCATCTCCGGAGGCTGAGGCAGGAGGATTCAAAATTCAAGGCCAGCCTCAGAAATTTAGCAAGGCCCTAAGAAAATTAGCAAGACCCTATTTCAAAATAAAAAATATAAAAAGGGTTGGGTATGGTGGCACATGCCTGTAATCCCTGTGGTTTAGGAGACTGAGGCAGGAGAATGGAGAGTTTAAAGCCAGCCTCAGCAACAGCAAGGCACTAAGCAACTCAGTGAGACCCTGTCTCTAAATAAAATAGTGCTGGGGATATGGCTTAGTGGTCAAATGCCTCTGAGTTCTATCCCCAGTACCCCCCAAAACAAATAAACAAACAAACAAATAGGGCTGGGGATGTGGCTCAGTAGCTAGCACCCCTGGGTGTTATCACCAGTACCCCCCCAAAAATACTAATTACAAAAATGATATAAATCAATGATAGGTACAGGCAACCACTTCCTTAGTAAGCCTCCTATACCTCAGAAAATAATATGAAGAATAAATAAATAGGATGGTAACAAATTAAAATGCTTCTGCTGGAATATTTGTGTTCTTATAAGGGCTGTTTTAGGTTTCCAAGATAGTGTGCTATTGCTGTGTCCTACAGGGGGGGATTAACACTGACTTCATATGGCATAAGGGATGGAAGGGGCAAAAGGGACAAACTCTTTCCTGTAAGCCATTTATAAGGGCACTAATTCTATTCATGAGGGTGGAACCTTCATGGCCTAATCATCTCCCTCTTATTATCATCACCTTGGAAATTAATATTTCAACATATGAATTTAGGGAAGGGGGAACATGTATTCAGACCACAGCATTGTATATTATAGATATACTATAATTTAGCTACCCAATATATTGTTGCTGAACATTTAGATTCTTTACAACTTTTCATTATATTTATTTTCATTATATTTAAATATAGGGTGTTCTTTTTTGTCTTCATTTCTGTTTTGTGTAAATAGAAACACTTATTCTCACTATTGCGCTTGTTTACCTGGTAAACAACATATTAAATCACCTTAGACTGAGATGGCATCCCTAGCCCAGGAGGTTTTAATTATCTTTCTCTAACGAACCAAGGTAACAACAGGTGGTAAGGTATATGGAAACTGTGTTATATAAGAAATAGATTAAGAAATCTGGGATGTTTATGGCAAAAGAAGGAAGGTGAGTCATTTCAGGGATCATGATATGGAAAGAGTAGACTTGCTCTACATTTCTCCAGAGTTGAGTTCCCAGAGGAATTAGTAAAAATTTCAACAAGACATAATTCATTGTAATGTAATACATGTTGTGTATCCTTTACTCAAAACGCGTGGGACCCAAGGTGTTTTGGATTTCAGATTGTTTCATAATTTGGAATGTTTACATATATACATAATGAGATATCTTGCAGATGGGACCCAAGTGTAAACAGAAAATTCATTTATGTTACATATCCACCTTATACAAATAGCTTGGAGGTAATTACGTACAATATACTTAACGTGCTTGCATTTTGACTGCAAAACATCACATGAGGTCAGGTATGGAATTTTTCATTTGTAGTGTCATGTCAGCCCTGAAAATGTTTCAGAATTTGGAGCATTTTGCATTTTGGATTTTCACATGAGGAATGTTCAACCTCGTAATAACAAAAATGTACATACTGCTTACTCTGTGCCAAGTACTGTTCTAATCATGGTACATGTACACACATTAAATTACATAATCCTCTAACTGTCCTATGTGGTGCATACTATCATAATCTCTGTTTTACAAATGAGAAAACCAAGACCTGGGTAGATTATGTAACTTGTCCAAAGTCAATAGTTAATAAATGGTGATACCAGAATTAGCAACCAGGCATCTCTAAGTCTAAATTATTTCATTCTACGAACTTGTATCATATGACAGATTCTGTACTAAGAGCTGAAAGCATAAAGTTGATTGACCTAGTGATGATTCAACTCCTAACCTCAATTATCTGACAGTCAAATTGGTAAGATTGCTACATAAATGGTATATTATAATGTTGTGATCCCTAACAGAAGTACCTTACAGTGCTGTAAGAGCCAGAAGAGGGATCCTTAGCACACACTGGAGGTTCAAGAAAGAATGGAAGGCTTTACCTAGGCTCAGTGGAAAAATGACATGTTCTGTTAGTTCTGCTATAGGCATAGGAGGAAGCAACAAGTTTATATTGTATTTATTGATTTCAGGTTACCCTTCCTCTAAATAAAGGTGTCTAATTAAGGAATTTTTCAATTGGGAGGAGAATTGGATTCACGCTGTTTTTGCTAAAGTTCAATTATTAATGTTTCACTTTCATGATTTAGACCATATCTGAGTACCACCTGTACTTTCATTTACTTAATATGCTTCTTTAAATGAACTGACTTATTTTACTAAAATAAATTTCATCAAAAATAGCACTACCATAAATGGAAAGCCAGCTTTACTCTCCATAAATAGAAAGTAACCATAAAAATAAATACATACTATTAGAAAATATTTATCTATGTACAACCTAAAATAATCTTTCATACCACTATTGCATGCCACATGTTGAAAAACACTGAATGAAATAACTTCTTCAGGCACTTCTACACCAACATTCTGTGATTGAGTAAATAACTCTTGCTATGATGTGTGACTCCAAAGTTTTATTTTCAGCGTATTTGTGTATATTCACTCAATTTGTTTCTCACGTAATCCGGATCATTTCAACATGTCTCCACCATGTAAACAGTTGTTATTGGCTATATCTTCATGACAAAATCGATTTTCAATCCTGATCAAACCATTTATTTCACCGTAGAAAGTGAATTACTACTGATACTCTTCCTGCTATACTCTTTTAAATTCACTACTGGCCAGGCATGAGAAGGAAGTATCCTGTCACTGTGGCTCCATGGTAGACTGCTCCAACTATATTTGTAGTGTTGACCTGAGAGGAGAAAGGACTACTATAATACAGGGCTATTTGGTCAAACATAGAACAGGAAATAAAGAACAAAGCTACAATATTTCAATAGGTGTGTTTGCAGAATGGTTTTAAGAAAGCAACAAAGACCCTTCCTTTCTCTTCTCCCTTTCACTTTCTGAGGGAAGTGATAAGACTTCCATGGGCAGAAAAGTAAAGGCCAATCTCCTGTTGGTTTGGGGGACAGTGGGAGATGGACACCACCCCTCTTTGGGGAAGTGAAAACTGCTTGTGGTAAGTAACATGAGGATGATAACTATGAGCCTGCCTCTGGTGGCCTGCAGGGCCCTGACACATCTCTGGATTAGCTCAGTGATAAAGGAGTTCCTGTTCTATTTATACATTTCCTTAGACAATCTCATATTTATTTGTTTAATACAAAAGCAAGAATGCAAGTCTTTTTTGTACACCCAATAGGAACCTTCCCTGACTCAGGAATATACATTTTGGGGACACGGCCAAGGATGTTATCCATTTCCTGCAGGTGAGGCTGAGGCTCCCAGTTTTTCTGGTTTGACTTGGTTGCTGATTATGAAGCCTCTTCCCTGCCCCAATTTATGGGTGTGGTGGCTTCTGGGGTATAAAATGGTGTGGAAAATTCATGGACACCCAACTCCCTAACCCTACCCCAACACATACACACACACACACACACACACACACACACACACACACACACACACACACCTAGTCAAGCTCTTAGCTCATAAAGTTAGCAGCCTGAGGCACAACTAACTTATAGGAGTTAAAGGGCCTGCTAGAGCTTGTCTAGGATGGTGGTATGCCAGTAGAATTTCAAACCCTGGCCCACTGGCCATTCCTTAGGTAAATTTAATCATGCCTCCAAATGTCTTGAGCAAGAAGTTTAGTTATTAGTTTTTATTAATTAGTTTACTTATATACACAGGGAAAGGGGTTATGTGGATCATGGGATATGTTCTCAATATATTTAGCCAGAGACTCAAAGTTGCTAAAAAATAATGGTTAACCTTTACTGAGACCTTCATTTGTGGCAGGTGCTGTGCTTTGTAGGCTACAAACTCCGCAGGGGCTGATCTAGGTTTGGTAGGGCCTAAAGTTTATACGACTATGGGGACCCTTTCTAAGGAAAACATAGGTTGATTCCTTCCAGAGTTTTGGAAAAGGGCCTGAAGGCTCAAATTCATTAGTGTCACTGTGAAAGCCACCTCTGCATCTTATTTAATCTTTTTGATAATTCTGTTAAGTAAGTGCTAGCAGTATCTCTGTAAAAGAAATAGGTGAGAAAGCATGTTTAGAGATATGAAGGCACTTGCTCAAAGTTGTATAGTTTATAAATTAAGCCAATTCCCATAATCTCCTTCAAGGTTTTCTCCTCTTAGCTAAATAGATTTCCTCCTCCGAAATATCCTTATCCTTTGCTGGCAGTAACCTTAGTGCTGTCCTCTGGGACACGTGAGGAACTTAACACTGGTTCAACATTAGCAGTGGAGCAAAAGGTCTCCTTCTAGCTGATTTTTCAGGAGGAGTAGGACCTCTGGGAAACTGCAGAGCAAGAAGAAAAGTGGGTGAGGAGGGCAATTTTGTTCCCACTAGGTCAGAGCCATGAACTAGTTTTAGCAACATTTTTGTTGTTCCTTGAACAACAGTGACTTAAGAATGCAGATTTTTCTGTTTATGTACTGCTTGACTTCTCTCCCCCTCCCCAGGCCAGCTCTCCCCAGCTGGGCCCCTAACTCTCCTTCCTTTCCCCCTCCCTTGCTCACTTCACCCTATTCTGCCCCACCTTCCCTTCACTCCCAGCTCTTCAAGCCTTCTTTTTAAAAGTGTTGTTGTTGTTCTACTGGGAGCTAGGAGGGTGGAGTCCTCTTACTGAGGCTTTTCCTCCTCCCCTCCCTCTAGCCCTCAGACTGGGCTCCACCCTGGTAGTTTGTCAGTTGGCTTTCAGGAGGAGGAGGAGAAGCAGCAGGATGAAGAAGGGGGAAAGAGAACAGCATCTTGTGAGCCCTGACACGTGGTGTGTCTACATACTTCTCAGCTATCTTTCACTAAGTTAAACATTTAATTTAACTCTTATCTTCCTCATCTGATTCTTTGGGTACATAAAGGAAAGTGCGGGCTGCTTCCTCAAGCAGTGGATTTCCCTCAGGCTCTGGGTGGAATAGACAGAGTTGAAGACATTTCAGGTTACTATTTGGTATATTTCTTAAATCTGCTAAAGAAAGGAGAACCTGTGGTGCTTCCTAGAAGGAAAGGGAAAGTGATCACAACTTTTACTTCTTCATACCTGCTCTCAAAATCTTTCTTCAGACATAGGCATCAGTCACATTCTTATTATTAGTATCAAGAAGTAAAGAATATAAAGAAAAAGCCGTGCCTTTCCCACCAAATGTGGTTATGGGGTACAAAGTTCTCTGTGTGTCACTTTTGACTCCTAATTTAAGTGAGACAGAGGCCATACCTAAAATATTCAAAAGGAAAATGTGGACTAATAGACTGAGTATGATAAAACCAAGGGCTCCTTACTGGAGCCCCTTGGATAAAATGAATGCTCTCATTTCTCCCCTTAGCACCTAGCATCGTTCTTGATACAACCCAGATGCTTAATTTACTTTTATTTACTAAACAGAAGAATGGATGGGAAAGAATCTAGAGTTTGTTTATAAAAGGTTCAAGAATTTACTTCATGTTTTTCAAAAGCTGAATTTGTTATATGAGGTCAAGTTTTCTACCCAAGTAAAATTGAGGCATAAAAACAATAACCCAGGGTTGGGCTGGGGTTGTAGCTCAGTGATTGAGCACTTGCTTCACGTGCATGAGGCACTGGGTTTGATTCTCAGTGCTACATAAAATATAAATAAAACAAAGATACCGTGTCTATCTACAACTAAAAAAAATGTTAAAAAAACAATAACTCAGGGTTAAAATAAATTACTTAATCAGAAAAAAGTTTAATAAGAATATAGAATGTTTGGCTATCTGCAAGATAGCTTTTATTTTTTAAACCAGGGACTGAATCCAGGCATGATTAACCACTGAACAACATCCCCAGATCCCCAGACATTTTTATTTTGAGATATGTGTCTCACTAAGTTGCTAAAACTAACTTTGAACTTGCAATCTTCCTACCTCAGCCTCCTGAGTCACTGGGATTACAGGTGTGCACTACCATGCCTGGCTGGATAGGGCTTCAGCCTTTCCATATTGAATAAGGAACTCATGGTGACCTTAAGGTACAGCCAACCTAGACCGGGAATTCTAGTGGCTACTCTCTTAAATTTTTACTATAGTTATCTACTCATCTTCATCTTTACAACATAAAAATGCATTCATGATATAAACAACCTAATACATTTGAATCTGAAACTCTTTCCAGTGTTGCTTAAAATTGCCTTGGTTGGAATGGTGAAAATCTTGAGTAGTACTTCCTAAATTTCATATATTAAGAAACTAAGGCTCCAAATGATAGAGTGATTCTTTTTTAAAAAAAAATTTCAGTTGTCAATGGACCTTTATTTTATTTATATGTGGTGCTGAGAATCAAACCCAGTGCCTAACACATGTTAGGCAAGTGTTCTACCACTGAGCTACAACCCCAGCCTGAAGTGATTCTTTTTAAAGAGAACTGTACTCAATGTCAATATGATTCCCTGTCATTCACCTTGTAAGCAGGGAGGGGGTACAGGGAGTGGTGGAGAGATATGGTAGAGTAAGATAAGGAGTTATTTATAAATCCATACTACAGGAACATTCATGCAGCAAATATGTATATATGTTCTCTAATCTCTGCCCCTCGGTTTTCTCTTTTATAAACTGGTGATAGTAGTTTTAAGGTCCTTGCTTAGCATCTGGATGGCCATCTTAAGTGACAGCCATTTTAAGGGAAAATTTTTTGCTTTCCCGCCCAAGGGCCCCAAAGGTATTTCTGAGAAAGGCTTACCACTCCCTCATACCAACCCAACCCTTAACTGCTGTATTAGGACCCACCCACTGTGATTCCTGAGCCTCCCCCATAAAAGTCCTAGAACTCAAGCCTATTTTGCCTCTCTCTTCTGTAGAGAGATGGCTTTTATTTGTCAGCTCTGACAAATAAACTCTCATGTGTTTTTCTGCCTGGTCTCCCTCTTTCATTTATCACTTACCTGGCTCTCGTTTCTCACTTTCCCTTCAGTAATCCCTACTCACAGGATTGTCAGAAGAATTTTTAATGATTTAATAGACATAAAGAGCTCTACAACAGAGTTTGTCACATAGTTAGTGCTCAATAACTATTATAATTGTTAAACATAATAATGCCTGTCATCCAAGTTACAGGTATTATAGTATCTGGTATCTAACCTCAGAGACTTTATTAAAGGAAGAAATTATATAAACAAATATGTGTTTGGAGTGAAGAAGGCAAAGAGAAAGAAGTTTTGCCTGAAGGAAATAAATAAGAAGGAAAGCTACCTTGAGTTAGTCCTTTTAAGAAGGTAGTCAGAGAGTTTAGGCTATTTCAGATACAGAAAGTAAAGTGACTCCAATAGCCAAGCTATGGAACCAACCTAGATGTCCATCAAGAGACGAATGGATAAAGAAAATGTGGTGTATGTATACACAATAGAGTATTACTCAGCCATAAAGAAGAATTAAATTATGATATTTGCCAGTAAGTAAATGGGTGGAACTGGAGACCATCATGCTATGTAAAATAATGCAGACCCAGAAAGTAAAAAGTCAAATGTCTTCTCTGATATGTGGAAGCTAGTCCAAAATAAGGGGAAAAGAAAAAAAAACTGAGGAAGGGGGATTCCATCAAAATAGAAGAAAGATCAGTGGAATAGAGGAAAGGGATTGAGGGAAAGGAGAAGGGATAAGTACAGTCAAATGAAACTAACCAAACTTTCCTATGTACATATATGAGTATACCACAGTGAATCTCACCACCATGTATGTCCATAAGGCAACAGTTTTCAAAAAGTAAAAAGTAAGGTTGGAAACAGGCCAGGATTCTCAGGGATTTGCAATCCAGGGAAGACCTAGGACAGCAGTAAAAGCTCTGGTGCTGGAAAGGTAGACAGGGGCCAGACCACAGCAAGTTAAAAGACCCCAGTCTTGATGTCATTTAGGTGGCTAAACTATGGGAGAAAGAAAAATATGTTTGGGGAGATGAGGATGAAAAATGAGATGCTTAGAAAGTATGCAGGCAGAAATAATAATTAAGTGGGCCTACCTGTTGTGAAGTATTGGGCTTTGACCCTGTTTCCTTAAATTAACAAAGGAGACATGGAGGGTACAATAGTACCTACTTTCCAGAGTTGTTACCAGGAATAAATAGAGAAATGATGAATGTTAAAGCACCTAGTCCAGTGACTTGCCCATATTAAGTGCTGAACCCATAGCAACTATTATTATTTCTCTTTCCTTGCTGCTCCCTCCCTTCCTCTGCTTTGTTTCTTGTCTCTCTTCTCTTTCCTCCTCTTTAGAAGAATTGTGGTAGGCAAGAGCTACTGAAAGGGGGCTGTGGTTGCTTGTTACTTCCTGACCTCCCATTAAAATTAACTAGAGAAGGACTTTCAGGCAAGGGCAAAGAAATCCTGGAAATGTGGCTCCTATCCTGTGGATGCAGCTCTACAGGGATCTTCGCCAATGCCTAGCTGAGAGGCGGTCCCAGGGGGTTGAAAACACTATTCTTAGAGATCTGGTATCTGGGAGACTGAGAACGCCTTTCTTAAGTCTCCCAGCTGGGCCACACAGTATTTGCAATTCTTCTTACCCATCCTCTCCTTTACCTTCACCTCCTTCCCTCCTCTGTTAGTAGATAGATATGCAACCAGCTCCAATCTCCTTTCCTCTTAGCATCCTCCCTGAGAAGGCACTGTGACCTCACTGTCCTTGCTGGTGTCACACGTTACCATGGAGAGCTAGGAGGGTAAATATCGCTTCCAGTTGCCAGTTTTCTTTTCTTTTCTTTAATGGAGAATATCATGCTAAGCGAAGTAAGCCAGCTTTCTTATTTCTCTCCTTTCCCTCTCCCTTTCTTCCCAGGCATCCCCAGCCCCAATCTCTACACCCCTCATCGTCCCCTGAGAGTTAGCAGAACGCGAGTAGATAAATGACCGAATAGTGTGTTAACAAGCTTCTTTCTGGGACGGATAAGGAACTGAAATTGATTCGAGTTGTACCTGCTGCTGCTGGAGACACAGAGAGGCAGCCGCCAGGGGCGAGGCCAGTTCTCTCCGCCCAGGGCCCCGCCCCAACCCCTTCCTTCTCCCTCCGCCTTCTCAGCCCCACCCTTCTCCACCTCCTCCTACTTTGCTCTCTCCTCTAGCGGCCGCTTGTCCCTTTTAAGGAACTCCACCCTAGGTGGAGTCCTCACGATAGTCACACCTCTCTTCTGGGCCTAGCCGGGCGGAGAAAGACGGAATCACTCCACCCACTCAGGTTGCCCAGAGAGCACTTCAGGTTCTGACCCGTGTGGGGCTCGAGGTCCCCAGTGGTGCAGCTAGGTGCCTCCAAGAAACCCCGCCCCAGAAGACCCGCAAGAGTTGCTGCTGTTTTTTCGCTGAAGCCCCTTCCCTGGGCTGGTGTTCTATATGTTTCGACCAATCGTCGGCATTTTCTCCTCCCTTCTTTCTTTTTAGGAAGGCGCTGGGGTGTGCGGCGGCAACCGCGGTGGTGAAGGGATCCTCTCATGGTATCTCCTCGTGGGGAACGTTCCTGTCTTGAATGATTCCTTCTCCGCCTCAACTTTGTGTTCAAGTAGTGTTTTGAGGTTTAGGGTGGGTTTTTTTTTTTTAGCCCCCACCCCCGGCCCTCTCCATTTTCAAGGGTGTGCGGAGTTCAGAGGATGGGTGGAGAGTGGGCTTGGCCGGAACTAAATTGGTGGAGGTAAAAGGGGAACGGAGGATCTTTAGCATTGGCCCCTTCGGCCCAGCAAACCCACTTTATTTTTAGCCGAGGAAAAGCTGCAGGGGGAGGATTCTTTTTAGAAAGTCTGCTCTGCCGGCCCTGATTTTTGGGTTGGATGCTTGAGAGCTTTGTTTCCCTTGTTCTAAGGGTGGCCCAGCTGGGGCTGAATCGACTCCCTCCCTTTTCGCCTTCCTCCCCATTTTCCAGCCAAGAGAAAAAGGGGAGGTGGGGGGCCGAGAAAGAGAAGGCAAGAGCTAGTCGCCTGGCGCGCTGTCAGACAGGGGCGGGTGTGAGGGGAGCAGCTGTCTTGCGACCAGCTCAGGGGTATGAACCTCCTGGAGGACGGCATGAGCTCCGGACACTTCAGGAGTCCTCAGCTAGAGACATGGGCGGTAAGTGACTCCGGGATTAGAACCCACCCACTCTCATCTCCTCCGTCTAGATTCTACCCCTCCCCCCTACACACACCCACTTCTCTTTGGGTTTTAGAAGTGGAGGGGGCGGGGGCGGGAAGCGGAAGGGTAAGAACACTGTGTGGAATCAAATGAAACTCAAGGGAAATGACTTTGCTAAAGCGTTGAGCAAAGAGGGGCTAAGAAGGGGAAGAGATACTTTTGGGGGGCTTCGTGAAAGTAGTGAAAGAGGACAAGAATGGATGGATTTGTCTAGTTTAGTCCATCCTGGCTCAATGCTCGCAAATCCCCCTTAAGCGGTAAAGGTTTGTCTTTGACTTAACCCCACATAGCCAAAGTCGCAGCCAGCAAGAACAGTATTCAGAAAGCCGAACTAGGTAACTCCCTCCACCCCCCCTGCCAAGCACTAGCCGGTACCTAGAAATGCTTCTAAAAAGGAGGAGGAGGGGGCAGGGGGCTAAGGTGGGAACCTGGGCTATTAGGGACACGAATCGCGAGACCCTGGAAGGAGCCGCAGGGGAGGAGCTGCTTAGGGCGTGCCAGTTCTTTAAGGAGGGGCTGAGCTTGGTTGGAGGAGGAAGCCCAAGCCTAAGGCCCAGCCCGGGCCCTTTAAGACGTGGCCAAGGCGGTTGGTTCGTCTGTGTAGGTGGAAGATTGGGCCGAATTGCTGCGATTGCTTGAGCTAATGGACTTGCTTGGCCACTTGGTGGAGCTTTTTATGTGTGTAGGTTTTTGTTTTGTTTTGTTTTACGGTAAGAATTTTGGGGAAAATAAACACAAATAGGTAGCCAAGGAAACGATGTCATATTTCTTTAATATTGTCTTCATTGTGAAGAAAAACATATACTAAGCACCTATCTGTCAGCAAGAGTAATAATAGCTGGAAAAAGAGAATAATCTCCAAATCTGAATTTTAAACTAACAAAAACTGATGGTTTGACAGTAACAGAAATATCTGCTTTGAAACCCTACTACCACCCCTAACCAGTAGTGTGACTCTGGGCATTGCTTTTCTCTACAGGATGCAGATTAATAATTATATCTCAAAAGACATTCAGGTAAATTAAATACTATAGTGTATGTGATACAGACTGCTACTTGTTGTATCTTAGTTTCACTTTTCTTACTCAGTTTGGTACTCTCTCTGAGCATTTATGATAGAATTGGTACTTTTGCTGTCCTTAAAATACCACCTAGGTGAAGTGAAAGGAGGCCTAGGAAGACTGAATTAGCTTGCCCAAAGGCTGAGGCTAGAACGTAGGTTTTATTTGCTTCTGATTTAACATTGTTCCCACTGGACTTTATCAGCTCTAAGAGAAAAGGCCACTAAACTGCCTTTCCCCTCATTCTTTGGGTAACTTAACCAGGACAATATAGCCAATGGGACCTTTGGACAACAAAAACCAGTGACACATAAATGACCTCATCATACTCTTTAAAGTTTGGGGGAAACCCTGACTTTGGTAAAGGTTGGGGACAAAGAGAATACACTGGGAACAGTGTCTTCAGGTTAGCTTAGGGAACAGGCAGGCAGAAAACATAAGAAGGGCAGAAATATAACTTTAAAAGTAAAAGCAACAAATGCATTTATCTAGTCAGTTCTCAAGATAGAACTCGTGTCTCTACTTTCATAGCACTAGGGAACTATAGGTCCCTTTTGCTTAGGCATTCAGGTTACAATAGAAAGAACATTAGAAGTAACAGAAACATTGGGGGAAAAAACATCAACTAGGTCATCACCTTCACTCTCATTGTTCTAGTATATTCATTTTGATGGGGTAAATACTGGGGATTGAACCCAGGTGTTCTATTTCTAAGCTATATTCCCAAACCTTTTTATTTTTTATTTTGAGATGGGATCTGGCTCAGTTGCTAGGGCTGGCCTCCAACTTGCAAACCTTCTACCTCGGTATGCACTACCATGCTGGGCTAGTATATGAATTTTAGAGATGGAGTTCTTAGTGGTTCAGATATCTGAATTCTAGTAACCAATATATCAAGCCCAGTCAAGTTGTTCATCCTTCCAGATTGTCTTTGATGATGGGGAATATCAACCATTCATTCTTCCTCTTTCTGGCAGAGGCTCTATTATTATTTGATTCACTTATATGTTCACCTTTGCCCTGAGTCAGTTACACTGTATGGCCTCATTTAATTGGTTAAATGAAGACAAGATTGCCTTTGGATACATAATTTATTTAGTAAATGTATATTGACATACTATGTGTTAGGCACTGAGAAATTTTTTTAAAAACTTAATTTCCTATTTCTTTTGAATCTCTTCTTTATCCTCCCATCCAAACCTGAATCTTCCCTTAAATTCTACCTTTGCCCTGGCCTCCCACAGCATGTCTATTCTTTAGATGTCCTTGTCTGTTCTGTTTCATTGATACCACAAATAAAATGCTTATAATGTTCTTATTTTCATGATTTTTCCTGAACAGTATTTATAGTATTCCTTCCATCATTAATCCCAACTTAAATGCCATTTCTATGATTCTTGCATCTAGAAATGCTTTTTTGAGGTTCCATATTACTTTTCCTGCACTTTCTGGAAACCGCATTACTCTTTGTCCTGCATTACATATCTAAGCCCTTACCCCTTTTTCCGACTGCCAAGGCACTCAGTGACGAGTAGTGTCATTGTATCTTTATAATACTTAGCTAATCACCTTTCCCTTGTAAATGCTTTGTACATATTTTGTAGATTATTGTCTGAGGTCTAGTTCTAAAATACCATTATTTTTGTAAATGAAGGAATACTTGATTGAGATGAAGTCTCTCATTATCATCTCTAAAATTATATTATAATTTGTGATTATAAATAATGTAAGTAAAGCATTGGACTCAGTGCCTGACATGTAATACAAATTTCATAAGTGGAAGGTCTCATCATTTTTGTTTTGTTTTATTTAAATGTTTCTGTGTGATTGTGGGAGAGGAATATAGATTGATGGGACAGGAAGTTGGATATAAATGTTTGGAACATAGCTGCTGTATGTAATATACTAAAAGATATTGTCTGTGTATTTAAATGAATTGGATATATATATATATATATACACAAATCAAACTCTGGGATTTTTATTCTATTTTGGTACTGGGGATTGAACTCAGGGACACTCAACCACTGAGCCACATCCCCAGCCCTATTTGTATTTTATTTAGATACAGGGTCTCACCGAGTTACTTAGCGCCTTGCTGTTGCTGAGGCTAGCTTTGAACTCACAATCCTCCTGTCTCCGCCTCCTGAGCTACTGGGATTACAGGTGTGTGCTACTATGCCCAGCTGCCCCAGACTCTTATCGATCCATCATTCAAGACTTCTCCTTTCCACTTCCCTGGTTAAGAAAGTTACATTACATCATTATCATAATCTTGAGGAATTTAATTAAACTTTGTACTTGTTCTCATCTGTGTATTGAGAATAATAATAGGAACTAATTCATGGAGTGGCAGTGAGAAGTAAATATGTTAATTTTGTTAAACAGAAGAATGCATGAAAACATAGTAAGCGGTGAGAAAATGTAGTTGTTATGGTTCT